CGTGGGGATGCAACCCGCGAAGCCCGCGGGTTACACCTCCTTGGCCCTTGAACCGCCCGCACGGGTCACGGGTCGGTCCGCGGTCCCGGTTTTCACGGGCCGGTTTTCAAGGGTCATGGCCAGCCCGTCCGTCTTGACACCTCTACACTTGTGGATGAGACTGTAGATTCCTAGCTATATTTGGCAAGGAGGTACCTCAGGCATTGGCAAAGATTAGATACCCCTCAGCTTTCACAGGATTAACTATCTCTACTGCCTCAACATAAGTTTGGCAAAGTTCTTCCCAGAATCATCAACTCCACAACTATACGTACTTGAATTTATGCATGCCATCTTCAATGAAAAAATCCGATATTTTTGGATACTATGTCATGTCGAAAAAGTGTGGTCTAAACTCAAATAACCAAGAACAGTATGTAGATACAACGTATGCTCATTTGGATTATAATCTCAACTCTCTTTATGAGTTTAAACTCAGTCAAAACTCAAAGTTGGCCAAAATTATAATATCAAAACTCAAGCTCTAAGCTCGGCAAATCCCAACAATGCCTTCCTGGGTATTTCTTTCTCTCTTTACAAAAGCATAGGGATATCAAGAATTTGTGTTTTTTGTATTTCAAATAAATAGACCACAAATAAATTTAAGTTCTACAAATTTTATCAACTAATAAGTACTAGTTTTAGCATCTTTCTAGCTAGAAGAAATAAAGTTTTAGAATACAAGGAATGCACAAGCAGCAATAGAGTTTACAAGATATTTATCTCAACAGAATTTTGAATTTCAGAGTTATTGAAAGAAAAAATAATACTTTTTAAACTTTCAATAATTGTTTTTTTCCCTTCATTATTCTTGTAATTCAAGATCTTGTCAGTCAACACAACCAACCTTATCGACCTTCAAATATCTTGAATAGTAAGGTAAAAAAAAAAAAATAGTCTGCATGATTATTGTTCTCATTACAACATAAAGTTCTTGCATAATATTTATGCCCTGCATACGATTCAAGAAATAGGTGAATAAATAGTAAATTCTGGCAAACCAACAATAAATTTAAGAAATTGGATATCTCCAATTTACCACCTACAGTTCATTATTCACTTGTCTGGTAAAAATCAACTCAAACTCTCCCTAATTTTATTGCACAACAATAAATAGTGACTACTTAGACATCTGAAGATGGAGACTTTAGCTCGATAGTTGTGGAATGGGAGAATTTGGGGGGAAGAGTCATGAGATGTTTATCGCTACTCAACTTCTGCACGGCCATACCTAATGTGTATCCTAGGCTGCGGCTAACTGAAACAGCTACAGCATTCCCCACTTGACGGTATCTGAAAAGATCACAAGAAAAAGAGATTTCTGAAAAGAATTAAGAAGCTTGAGATAAAATGTGCTATAATGAGTATTGAGCTATTAATATAAAACATGTAGTACATAAGGTGAATTTAGTGGAAATGAAGATGGTAAGATGAATATGTGATCATATAAAATAGATAAGAAAATAAATGAGCATGTGTCAACAAGATAAGGTGGTGCTTGTGCATAGAGCAAGGTTGAAGTTTATGCCGTACGTTTAGCAATTAACAAAGTGGAATGGCAACAAAGGATTCATATAGCCAACTTCAAATTTACTGAGATTAAAGCTTAGAGCATCTCCAAAAAACTCTTTAAATGCTTAAAAAATAAGCTCCAAAAGATTCTATTTTTCCACTTTTTCAAATAGAGGGTTGGTCCTCCCTATTCTTACTTTATAGTGATTGTATTTAATAAGCTATAGATTTCAATACTTTATTTCTTTAATTATTCAATCATCTTTGAATGGCCATTCACATGTAAAAAAAATATTAATAAAAGATGAGGCAAAATACATACATGTTTCTTGAAAAATCAAAATGAAGAGCCAAAATAAATAGCATATAAATAGTCTCATGGAGATGTTTTTAGTTTGTTGTTATTGATCCATAGCTCATATCAATATTGTGATGATCGCTCTCATGGATTAGGCTGACATGGCAAGAACTCGAGGACATTTTGAGGGCTTTGGTTCCGATTTCCTAGAAAAGTCTTATGATTACTAAGAAAAGTGAATGGCTTGTCGTGTATGATCCACATAAGGATTATCTACCTCCCCATTCACGCGTCTTAAAACAATTTTAAGTAACTTTTTGTCGCCAAAGATGTTTGTATATTACTCTTTCCTACTTTAAGCAATTAACTCTTACCTTGCTATCAAAGTAAGTACCGTGTCTGCAATTTTGATGAATAAAAATTTATTTATTTCAAAACTTCCTCATTACTTTTAATTAAATTACTTATGTGTAAATTGTAAGCTTAATCAAACATGCTCCAAGATATATATAGAACTGACTCGAGATGAATAATACCTTTCCTTCAGTTTTCCACAAAACTTATAATAATCAGGAAAGCCTTGCAGCCTTGCACATTCCCGGAGAGTGAGGACTCTATCTTGCTCAGGGTGCAAAATTGGCTGTACAGAAGAAAAATATTTTAATCAAGGAATTCACACCCCGTGTCCCGAAAAAGAATATTGCAAAGAAGTGGGAGAAAATTACCCGTGAGTGATGATCGGGAAAACAGAAGACAGTTGCCACAGTCTCATCCCACCACAACCGTCCGAATGGTCTGCATTTATGCATAGAAAGAGAAAAAAAGAACTTGTAAAAAACTAAGAAAGAAAGAGAATAAGGGAACTGCAATACTCCTTCCACATGACATATGCTTACTTCGTAGACCTTCCATCACGAAAACTAATAGCATAATCAGGTACCTGATCATGAAAAGAACAAAGTATGAATGCAAGTTAAAAGCATTGTACCCAGGGCATGATGTCATGATTAAAAATAACTCAATGCAGGTCAAATGCTGCCATGGATTTTAGAAAGGTTTTAAGGAAATATAAATAAAATTATATAATGCTATCGGGGAACATTTCAAAAAATTAAAACAAAGTAATCCATAAACTGAATTAGAAGAAAATGAGGATCAACTTCTGATATGTGATCTTAGATGTTTGGAGAAGAAATTTGTACAACCCTAGCTTCATGAAATTATCTTTGAAGCCAACTCAAAATTTTGCCAGATGTTAAATCTCTCTCCAGAAACTCTCACAAGATGGGGTGAATTTGATCAATTTGGCTAGAGTAGCTACTTGATAGAGTGCTTATATCAATCAGTAATGATTATCAGCTACAGGATTAACATAACATTTCACGCAGGTGATTCAGTAAGTCAAGACTGTCAATTCAACAGATTGAAATGCATGACAAGAAAAAGTTGCACTTCCAAGATATTTAATTAAACAATAATGTGGGATTAGTTTCCAGCTAAATATAAACTGGTGAGATTTATGTACTACCCAAGGCTTTCCAGATGGCATCAAACTTTGCTCCTCTGCTCGTCGAACAGAGTTGTCGGATCCAATGACAATGCCTGGAAGGTCTCTAAAACTTGCACCCTGTTGACATGTAGAGAGCTTAACGTCAACAGAAGGAAGCCAAATATAGCACACTAATTCTTTTTTACTAACCTTTCTTTTAGGTACTTTACAAATACGCAAATAATCATCATTTCCCAATGGATAAGGAAGGTGATCATGGAGAACAGGATTTTTGTTTGCACTGCTGGAAGAAGAGCCCATCATATCTGGAGAAAAGAAAAAATAAAATCAGTCCAAACCCAACTTTGTTCCAGAAGAAGCAATCTGTGCTTTCATGGCCATCAAAATCCCTATCCTCCCCACCTTCCGGCATGGTAGTTCAGATTCAGGTTTGTGCATGGGACAATTTTGCGCAGATGACCTCCAGATACTGATATCCCCCTAATTTAATCTGGTGACTGGTATAAATAGTAGCGCTAAGAACCCATGGATACTGTATATCAATTTTTCCTCCTTTGATTCAGACATTCTCCTCCCATTCATCTAAGGTCACTGATAACTTCAGGTACTTGTAAGTGTTTATTTATTTTACTGTAGTACTTGTTATTATGCCCGTTTGGTTTAGATTAAAAATGCTGATAAAAATCTAAATCAAAATCAATAATTAATTTTAATTTCATATTTCATAGAACCTACAACTTTTCAACCACACATTTCATTAATTTTTATCAAAATTTACTAAAAATTTGAATTTTAGACCAAACAGAGACTATATAAGTTTCAAAAATCTTTTTGCATTGATGATGTTCCCCACGCACCAAGGAATGAAGCATTTGGACTTTATTGATTGAGTACAAATAACTCCATTTTAACTTAGATCAACCACAAAAATGCTAAACATCTTAGTTAGTTGGAAAAGCGCTGTACAACAATCTCAAAAGTATAGTAAGTAGAACAAAACCAAGCTCCTTCCACTTGACCTGTCCTTGGTTGGTCGAAACTTAAAAGAAATCAAACCACGGTTTAAAAAAAATTTAGTCACCGAATTTATATCAAAGTTTCACTTTAGTCACCTAATTTGCTCTAATTTAGTCTACTAAGTTTTATTTTGGATCAAGTTACCACACTCTGTCCACCTCTGTAAAATGTACTAAAAAATCTGACACAGCAAACGGAAAAGTTGATGTGAACTTAAAAATCGTTTAGCTTATTACTTTGAACGTCCAATTCTATAATTTTTTATGAAATGAAGTTTAGTGACCTTTAAAAGAATAAGGTAACGGTTTTTCAAGTCCAAGTGAGCTTTTCTGACTTGCACGTGAGAATTTCTAGTAGTGTATTAAATGGAGATAGAGAGAGCGACGAAACTGAAACAAATATGAAACCTAGGAGATTAAACCCTGTTTGAGCCCCATTTTTCTCAAAATTCATTTTCAACATATTATCCCATAAAATAATTTTACATGTAAACTCAAATCTTTTTTCTATTTTTTAACCACATATTCTCTCAAAAATCACTATTTCAAAATACATTTCCCCCCAAAAGGGGGCTCAAATGGGGCTAAGTTGGAAAAAAAGAAGTCACCTAACCAAAGAAAAACTTCGGTAAAAGTTTGGTGACTGAAGGTGATTTTAGCCCGGTCAAATCATGTCCTAAAAATTATTAGAATAAGAATTTGTGGTATCAGTTTTATATCAAAGCAATGGACTAAACCCAGGTTTCATGAAAGCATAAGAACACTTCATAGTAATAGGAACTTCTTCATTTGGGGTTTAATGCAAATTTGAAAAATAAAATTAGGTTAGATAAGCACATATAGCCCATTTTGATCCCATTCTTTAAAACTCATTTTCCTTAAATTCATTTCCAATAAAATAATTTTCCACGTAAACCCAAAACTTTTTCCAACTTTTTAATCACATTGTCCAAAAAATAACTATTACAAAATCTATTCTTCCAAAAAATGGGGCTCAAACAAACCCATAGATTGACCAACACTCTGACTGCATATGCATTAATCAAAAGTTACATTAAGTAATTAAAGATGTCATTTTGGCAACTACAGGATTATCTGTACATATGAATAAATTTGTCCAGGACATATGCACCCAATCAAATTAGCATATGTAACGAACACAAGACAATAGTATGAATGATGTGCGCATCACAAAATGGACATGCTGAAATTATGCTATTTTCCCGACAAATGAAAGTGATGGGCAGCAACTGTAGCATATGCCAGATCTATCAACAGCTCAATGATAAGATAAAGTATTCCTACCAGATTTAGATGCCCTAATATACTTTTGAAACTCAGTTTCTGGAGACTTTGTGTATGGCATCTTGTCACGAATCTCCTCATTCCCAACCTTACAATAGAAACAAAATAAGAATGCAAGTTTACCACAAAAAAAATATGGCAGTGTAACAAAAAGTAGACAAAATACAGGAGGAAGATCTGATATTGCGTCACCCAGAACAATGACTTTTTCTAGATCCCGAGATTGCCCTTCATCATAAGCAACAACATTACGCTGCAAAATGGAATTAGATCAGAAATAGGAATTAATTAGATATGACCGTTGTTGACCACTTGATCTAAAAGTTTAAACAATTAAAGAGGACCACACTTATATCATTCAAATGAATAATGGCAGACTCAAACACGAGCTCTGATACCATGTTGCCCATTTGATCTAAAAGCTTAATCTATTAGAGAACCACATATATATCATTTAATTGATGTCACATGTTAAGCACCTCAAATTCACTTGGAAATCCGTATTGGATGACCACATTGTGCGTTGGGAGGGGAAACTGGGGCAATATCTGCAAATAGAACAACAACCAATGTCAAGTTCAGTAAGTAAAAACTGCATCTGACTTCAATGCTGATGGCAATATGTAACTTCCAGCTATGAAGAAGGCACGAGCAACCTCTGCTGACTTTAAAATATGTGCATTTAGTTATTTTTTTCAAAACATCTCTCTCTTTCTAGAGGAGAAATCCAACCCTTACACTGACAACCATTGACCAGAAAACTTTCTAGCATGTTGGGAGATTTTAGTGTAAATAGCTCATAATAATCGGGTGATTGCAAAGCCTCATCTCGTTGGGTAAATATATGGCAGGTCACAGATGTAATGGTTGGTGAAGATAATATCCACACATGATATTTCCTGTTTGCATACACAGGACAATGTAGCATATCTTATGTTACTAGAGCATACTACTCACAGGAAAATGGGTATATGTGGCAACTTACTTGATGAAAAAGAGAGTGGACATTTACCAGAATTGCACCAACATGCATCAAACACGCTCAAACATTTTTCAGCACGTCTTTTGGAGGATTTCCGACACTCCAATGCTCAAGGACACATTTCCAGGGGAAACTAGCCATTTAAGAACATTTTTTAATAAATGCAATTGATGTGGAAGAAGGTTTTAGTTTTAATTTAATATATGGTTGCTATCTACCAAATAAACCTATTTTGATAGTCCTAATAAAAGCATAGACATCTAGGTTCATGATTGTGCATCTTTGATGAAGTGTTGAATTCAAAATTGAAATCTTGATGATCAAGTTGAATTGATATGTAGTTATCATGTCATGTTTAGAAATCGAAAGCACAGGAGATTTCGAAGCCAGATGGTGGAAGAGAGATATGGCGAGGTTGAGTGGTTGACAATGACGATACCCATATATAATGCATTCACGCTGACTAACAATTTAATTAGATTGTTACTTTAAGATGCTTGCCCGGTTCAGAAATGGAAGACAAACAAATATAAGCAAATATGAGTAGAATGTGTCATGTTGTAGAAATTATATTGGCATGTAAATGACTAATATGCAATCATAAATATATGACCATTATTAACATTTAACAACATTAAGGCAAATATTTTAGGAAAATTTACAAAAGACGTCTCTACATTTAGGGTGTATTTAAAATTCGCGTACCATATTTTGCAAATTTACATTTTGCATACTATATTTTAATTCATTGTAAGAAAATAACACACCAAAAAAAAAAAGAGAAATATTTATATATTTTCCATTATAAATACATAAATAGGGCAAAATATCTGTCATTGAAAATAAAAAGGGTAATGCTACATGTACACACACACTTTTACACAATCTTTTACACCTCTCTCACATGGAGGGGGGTCCACAATTATTTTATTATGTGTGGGCCCCCTTCCATGTGAGAGAGGTGTAAAAGATTGTGTAAAGAATTGTGTACACATAGCATTATTCAAATAAAAAATCACACCATATATGTTACATTACGTAATAATTTCCAGACTATTTTATTATTCTTCAAAGTTTTAATTTCTATTACTCTTTCATACAATTATTTTTCACTTATATTTATCTGTTTCAGAAATTAATTTTCTGCCAATTCAAATATTTTGACAACACGATTAACATAACATTTTCAATCTTTATTTTTTATACAAAAAATTGTACAACAATATATCTTTTTTAAGAAACATGTATATATCAATATTTATATCTGTCTTATCTTTTTTCTCGTTAAAAAGAAAGAAAGATTATCAAAAACAAAAACCAAAAAATTATGTATGAATTCTTGAAAGTTTGTTAAATTGCAAAATAGTATAAACCTATAACCTCAACTTAAAATAATTGAGGAATTCATTTTAAACTACAAAATATATAATGTTGGAAAAAATTCAAATGAAGTTTTTGCAATATTTTCCAACAAATTTAATTTATTAAATTTTATTTACAGAATAATAAAATAGTTAAACAACAGTATGAAAAGTGTTAGATAATTTAATATAGGGAGTTATAGGTTATTTCCAATTGAGAGTATTTGAGTTTATTTAGCTATTTATTATGGAAATTTTATAAGTTTTTAACTAAACATGTTTTTTTTGTTACCATTAAGCAAAAGGTGGTGTATAAATTGTAAATTAGCAAAATATGGTACGCAAAATGAAAATATATCTAGAATGCATAGCGTATTTTGTAAATTTCTGAATATTTTATTTTAATTTGGATATACATTTTAGACTTGAGAATATGTCAATAGGCAAGTTAATGGAGAAGTCTAAAAGCAGTAAAATACTTACCTCGTGAGGGTGAGCACCCCATAAGAAAACACGCAAACGGAACTGAGGAAGACCATAGCAACCAGCAGCCATGATCCCTAGCCTCGCTTGGTAATGCATGTGAACCAATCGGCTTATTGCATATCTTCCCAGACAGCCATTGGCAAATCGTAGGATGTCAATTACATTTTCCATTAGAATGAACTTTGGCCTTAGGAAATCAACTATATCCATAAAAATCTTGATCTGTTGATTTCTTTCATCATCAAGAGGAGAATCAACATTTCTGAAGCGATTATAGCCACTTATTCCTTGGCATGGAGGGCCACCACAGATAACATCAACGTCGCCCTGTAAAAAGTGAATAAAATATTGACGAAACATTTAACGACGGACGCAGAAAATTTAGGTAAAGAAAATGCCTCAAAGCACTCAAGCATAGGCAAAAACCTCAAAAGAAATATATTGTGCCCCTGTTTGGGGCAAATTATTTGCCCAAAATAATGAGAATTATAGCCGTTAACCATCAAATCATCTGAAAATTGTTGACTTCCCAAGTCTTGTGTGGGGCCCAGCTTTGACTCCAACGGCTAGAATTCTCATTCTTTTGCCCAAACTAATGAGCCTCAAATAGAGGCTTTATAAAGCTCTAGAGTTGCACCTTTTGAGTATAGATGCGTGATACACCTATAAGCCATTTTAGGATGCTCACTTTTTATTTTTTATGTTTTACTAAAAAGTAAATACCCATTGTCAGCCAACGGTATATCATGATTATTTATAGATTGAGAATGTCAAGCGACTCCACATAAATGTCTAAACGGTAACGTTGTATCACTTTGCAAATACTCTTTATTTTATATTTTTTTCCTTCACATGCGAGCTCTCTCAGTAATCCACCTCTTTTCTCTTCCACCCATCCATCACTTAAACTACATCCTATGAAAGTCACCGGTTGTCTCTTTTCTTCCCGTGGTATTCAGTAAGCTACCGAATCTCTCATCCGTCTGTGCAACAGGAAACTACAAGGATCAAAGTAGACTGTAGACCTCTTATTTGGCTTCTACGTTCCCCCTCCAAATCAAGATTTCATTTGTTGTGCTTCTCAATATTTTGAGTTCGGTAATTTTTCACATTTCTTTATGATTTCTCTGATGTTTTATTTTTGTTGATTTAAATATTTACTTTATTTTCTGATTGTTGAAATATAAAAATTTACTTCAAAAGGTATATATCACACATAGGCAATTTTCCATGACATTATTTAGCCCTTGTTTGGCCCCCATTATAATGAGAATTTGGGAAAATGTATTTTGGAATAGTAATTTTTTAAAAAATGTATGGCTAAAAAATAAGTGAAAACAACTCAACTAGGTTTCAGAACACTAATTTTTAGCAAATATAATATTAACTATAGTATATAGCATAAAAAGATCAAATATTACCGGACGTGGCAGAATTTTTGCCTTAATTCCCTTGAGTACAAAATCTTGTATCCGCTCTTGGCAATTACTAAAGAAGAATAGAAGAAATATCAGTGGGACAAATATCCTTCGAGCGAGACAATTTGGAATAGATCTGTTACAGCATACCCTAAGTTCTCAATTGGCTCCCATGTATCATCCTTTGAACTGTATCCGATCCAACGAACCTTAAAAAAAGTAAACATAGTAAAAAATTAAAATTAAAATTATTTCATGACCTATGTATATACGGAAATTAAATTTCAGACAAAGCTAGTGAGGTAATTGGAGCATCACGAGATAAATTTGTAGCCAAATGATTTCTTGACCAATTAGCCACAAAAGCGGCTCGTAGATTAGTTTCACAAAAATCCACAAGTTTTACAAGTTGAAATTAAGAACTCTCAACTTGCAAAATCTTAATGATTTTATTACCAGAGATGCTCAAATTATCAAAATTTAAATTATAACAAAAAGCATATAACTGCCTATTATGCTACTCAATCTTTAGGAAGAACAATGAAGCAGAATGAAATTCCTTACAAGAACTGACGTAGTTCTTTATTTGCTTTCTCGGTTAGGGTACCCTGGACTACTCATTTCTTCATTCCTTATAAAAAAAACTCACTCCTACCCGGTTTACCTACTGTCCCTTAAAAAGCAAGGAGATTATGTCCCATTGAAGGTGGTGTCAGAAGCAAGGTGCCTGAGAAGGGCTATCTTTCTGTCTAATGGTGTTAGGGAGGCTAGTTTGACAGCTAACGACTGGATGAGGAGAAATGCATGTATAAGTTGGTTTTATATGTGCAAAAAGAAAGGGGAAGTTGTCGACCACAGTCTTTTCATTTTCGGTGAGCTAGGGAGCAAACAATTTTACATTCTTGATCTCCGGTGGCAAAGCCAGCCAAAGTTGAAGCACTGCCCAAAAGCTGGCAGATCGAGGGTAGATTGGCAGTGGAGGTATGCTTGGAATCTGGCACCTTCATGTACATTGGAAAGAACAGAGTAGAAGGCCCATTAAAGGCATAGAGAATTCAATGTTGCAGCTTATTCACATTTTTTCTGTCTTCTTGAGCTGCAATTCAACATGTATAAATTCATGCTCAGAAGCGTTGGCTGAGTTGAAATAAGAAGTCCCTTCTACATTGTATATTCCCTCGTACCCGGCTTTCCCCCTTCTCATTAATGAAATTTGATTAGATAAAAAGACAATTATTGAAGTAACGGGGCAAGAATGAGAAAAAATCTACGCATAAAATAACTAAAAGGATTATCAAGAGACAAAGTAATGGCTTTACAATTCATGAAAGGTGCATCATAGCATCTGTGCCACCCACTCAATTCCATAAAAGTTACACGCATACTGCCTTTTGCTTTCATTTGTCATTTAGTAGGATCACCTCAGTTGATGTGTTCCAAAATGTATGTATGATATTTACAAGTCACTGACATTGCAAGGTTAATAATATTCCCTTTCAACATTGCACTTCTTTCTTTCCATTTCTAAAAATCACAAACAAACGTCCACTTTCCTTAAGATAAACACATCCTTCATCATTATTTCAAGATTTGTGCCTCAAAAAAAACCATCCAAAATTCAAAAAAAAAATCTGGTTTCTTTACACTATAATTTTGCCCACACATTAAGAAGAACAGTATGCATCATCTCAGTTATGTATTTTATTTGATGGACACTAAACTTGACAAGAAATGCATGCAGAACTTGACGAGAAACTGAAAAATATGCCATCCATAGCATTAGTGTTTCATTAAGTTTTTTGTACATATCTGTATTTTAAACGTCGAAGACAATATTTAAATGATATACATGTGGCCTCATCTAACAACTTAAGTTTAGATCAAATGGTTCAACATTTTATAGCACGTAGAGGTCATGGGTTCAAATCTCCCCGTTGCCCATATAAATGAAATTGTGCACGTGTAAGGCTTTGAAGTGAATAAATAAATTTTGCCTATACGTGAAGAGGTACTTGAAGACAATATTTAAATGCTATGCATGTGACTCATATAATAGTTTAAGTTTTTAGATCAAGTGGATCAACATTAATTTTCGTTAAATAATTATCAAACAAATGGATTTGATCCTGATATATTGCGAACTGAACTATGAACAATATGCTCAAGTCTGTCATACTGATTTTATATTTTTCACAGTAGAGATAATTTTATATCAGGAATGTAAAGAACTTCAAAATAATTATACGTTTGAACATAGTGAAATTTTGTCTCTAATAATTTACGCTGGAAAAGAATTACAAGTAAATATTATCATCACTGAATGTTAGAAAAGTTGAGTTCAGGAAAAGGAAGGTAGTTTATGGAAACTTCATCAGCTATCAGAAAGTATTAAATATGCATGTTTTCAAGATCATAAGATTAAATATTTACCTTGAACTTAAGCCCCCGCTTTCCTGTTTCCGTGGGATCACCATGACATATGTCTACTAGCTTATCAACTTCATATTCACGGTTTCTTTTGCCATTAGCTTTTAGGTTTATGTCTTCATCAACTTCTCTAACTCTTGACTTCAGTTCTCTTACTTCATGGTTAGCATATTTTTTATAGAGACGGTCCCATTCCTTCAACAAATCAAGAAAGTCCTCCGCAGATTCATTTCTAATCTGTTTACAAGCAACAAAGGCTTAATATTTTGGAGAAATTTGGAGAGTTAAAATGAAAGAGAACTAATACCCACTTGTGTATCCGAATGGTTGAACCTCAAGCTTTCACATGCAGCTTCATCCATGTCAACAGCCCATCTCTTCAAAAGTCAAAGTAAGTCAGTTGACAAACATTAGCATGCGAGCTGTAGCACAATACATTGAGAAGTGAAAAGGGGGAAATGATCATATGTTACCGTCACAAGATTTATGCCAGATGCTTTGGCACCAAAGCATAACCCCATTGACATTCCTCCACAGCCAGCGTACATATCCAGTAATGCTAGCTCTGATTTGTGAAGTCCATTATTGGATGCTTCATCAACATTGCACTTGATACCGGTATTATTTGTGGCATCTTTGTGAATGCTCATTGTCATCATAGGAGATGGAGAGGATAAATCAGTCTTATCTGTATGATGATCTGCATCAGAGTTGGCTGAGTTACCGTAAATGAGTGTGAGTGATGCAAAAGGACCCTATAGCAGATTGACAATTTGAAGTTTGTCTCTCTTTCTTTGACATGAGAAGTGGAAAAGACTAGCAATTAATCTATATACATATTCACTCAAATATGTAACAGAGGAGTAACACTATGCTGCCTCCAGATGAGTATATTAATTAGCAATATATTCATATATGTTTAAACATTTTCCTATTTCCCAAAAAAATGATAATTAATAAATTAAAAGTTGTTCTAGTCATCATTTTGTAGTTGAACCTTACTCATCAGTCATTGAACACTACACCTCGCCTGTCACCACTTTCTATCTGCCTCACCCATCTTTTCACTGCTACTGCATGCCTCTTATCCAATCCCACCCCTATCGGCATATCATCAACACCGCTCCTTCTTCTTGTTGTTATAGCACGTTTATAATTCAATTATCCAGTAAAAAGAGAAAAAATAAAGAGGGTGGAATATATTATAAAGCAAATTGCAAAACACTCCCGTGCAGTTTTATTTTCCCACTCATTCCCATTTACGAACTCATCCTTATTTGGTTTTGTAGATCCTGCACATTACCATCTTTCCACATGGTTGTTCTAACAATGTTAATTCCGGCTGATACACACCACCATCTGAGGTGGAGTCACGCCAAATAGCCATCTTAGCAAGAGAGCCATGACATAAGGACACCTGTTGGCTCGTACAGGTCACTGTTCTTGACAAATGTCTCTTGCTGCCCAGGGCAACAAGAGTGCCATTCATGAAGTCACCCTTTGGTTCGCAACGGACCACCCAGCCTGACGAACGCATCACTTTACCTCAGAAATTAACCTCAAGCATAAAAGGCACAGTTAAAGTGACAATCGGTTAGATTGTGAATATCAAGGTGACGTAAATGACAATTTTTTTACTGAATGATCTTCGTTGAGGGATTCCAGGCATTATATAGGAAGGAATTGCCTGTATTATATAGGAAGAATATTAATTTATACAACTGTGATATTAATCTAAATATGGTAGACGTAATCAACGTAAATATAGTATATACAATTATATACATAATTATGTTAAATCATAATCTTCGTCAATCTCCATAATTTCTATCGATCCCATTGCCATCCCCTCAAATTAATGCTGGATAATTAAGAAACATCAATTTGTTAACAAGAAACTGATGTACAAATGGACAGCCCAAAAATAACCATATGCACAGGCCACAATCCACCCTTCCAAAAATAACCACATCAAGAGATTTCCATTTTCTTTAACAGGGAAAGGGTAAAATAGAGATAGAAACTAGAGAGATCAAAATAGGTTTGGGATGTCAAGAACTGCAGTGCACTCAACGCACCAAAGAGTCACACGTTGACAAAAATTTTGTCGACCATGGACCACCGCAAGAGTCAAATTGAAAAAAAATCCCATCAACCGTGGACCATCACAAGAAACCCACACTTAAAGAGGTTGAGTTATTCCCAAAGAAAATCAATGATTCAATATAAAGTCTACAAGGTAGGATCTAATACCATGACAAACTTTTTATTGAATGATCTTCCCTTGAGGGATTCCTTACATTATATAAGAAGAATATTATCTTAAACAACTATGATATTAATCTAAATATGGTGAATGTAATCAACCTAAATATAGTAATAATAATATATATAATTATATTAAATTATAATCTCCATGATCTCTATCAATCTCATTGACAATACATCCTCGATAAACCTCAAGGCAAATAATGATGTGGATCCTACCTTTAGTAGATAGGGCAAAACAATCCATCCAAAGAGTCGTATGTTTATTGAACGACCCAACCCTCAAAAGATCACAAGCAAAGTACAACGGGGTCAAAGATCTTCTTGCACTCGAAGATCAAGTCTCCACCAATATTTCTCAAACTGTTTAAGCATCACAATGTATCAATATTATGATAACTTGAACCAAAGGCAAAGGGTAGGAGACAAAATTTGGCCAACTACAATTACGGCCATTAAATCGATTAAATGAGTGGCAACTAGAATTGAACTCATGACCTTGCTCTTATATGATGTTGAACCTATGTGATCTAAAAGGTTAGACTATTAAAACTTGTTTTCAAAAATGTCGATGTTGTACCATTGCAAACACCTAATTGGTGCAAACATCAGGATGTGTCAAGACATATGTTATTGATTAAGATCATGAAAGGTGAAATGAAAATGAAAAATCATTGGCTCGTCTAGGTTTCTAAACTTTTGATTCACCGATAACAACTCAAGAATCCAAATCTAAGGTATGTGAATTTTTTTATCCAAGTCAAAATTCTATCCATTTGTTATTTCACTAATCCCGAATTTGACTTGGGCATCACAATATGCATATGATAGCCGCATCACCCCCTCATTGCAACAACGAAGCATCCTAATGTGTTCTCAATGTAGATATAGATACAGGTTAATAATGACTTGGCTCGCATTTGTTTAATGGCATAATCTAGTTGGATTTTGACGTCAACATTGTTAAAGCAAATTGACCATTGTAATAATAAGAGATAGCACCATGAAATTCTGAGGCAAGGATGGACATTTCCCCGGAAAAAAATAACACTTAATTTTCAAGTTAGCAGAAGAAGGATAATGTGCAAAGTTCTAGAAAAGGGTAAAGTTTTTGTGTATGGCAATCAATAGGCTTCCAAAGCCACCATTGGCAAATATGGTTTTTTTCTTTTTATGACATAATTTATGAGAAAAAACTTTATGGACATGTTTGTACAAAGAACTGAAGAGTATTATATAGTACAATAGTCACAATTTCAACATATTTTCTTTTTTAACCCTATCCAGTACGGTTCAATCCGTGAACCAAAAATGTCATATATGCTAACATCAATTGCTTGTAAGTTCTCTACCACTTTTTAAAGTCCTACTTGCAGAGTGATTATCAACTTTAGGTACATAAATGTAAAGACACTAACAACTGACAGCGCAAGTTTAACATATTTGGCCAAAGAACAAATTGAGAATAACTAAATATTTATTTAGTGTTTGGGTGCGCTTATAAGCACCAGTTCCACTACTTTTTGTGGCTCAAATGAGTTCCATACTTGTCTTTGTGACTTCTATTTTATCTACTTTAAAAATTAGCTCTTAAGCATGACCAATCAAGTGCTTATGAGAATACAAAGAAACCAAACTAAAAAAAAAAGTGCAATATGGATGAATTGTGAAAAGAATTTGTTTATTTGAAGAAAAAGATTATCGAAAAAGATAAGATTAAAATAATATACACGTGGCCCTCTCAACGGCATGAGCTTTTAGGTCAAATGGTTCAATGTGATATCAAAGCACAAAAAGGTCATGGGTTCAATTCACGGCACCACCCATTTAATGAAACTTGTCAAGCTTTTATCGGAATCCCAACTTGAAGGAACATGTTGAAACTGATATTAAAATAACATACATATGAGCGTGACCCTTTCTAACAACTTCACATTTACATCAAGTGGTTCAACAAGCCACATAACATGAGATAGCAGCTTGAAAACTCAACAAAGCCTTGTCCCATATTTATCAAGCCACAGAACCCACTTTCTCCTTCAAAACACTAGCTTTCTAATACACCAAAATCTTTCACAATTGCCTGCTTTCCCTGAAGCTATTTATTGTACATCTTCCTGTATTTTCAATCTAGTAAATAATGCCTTCAGTTGTCCACCTCCTCTATTACCTACCAACTAGTTCGGAAGTTTACTAAAATACTTGACTTAACAACATGATGGTGGAGAAACATGATAGCCAATGAGAACGATAGAATGAAATAATGCTATGAGAGTTCTCATATGGGAAATTTACTGTTGGAAAATAATGGGGAGCAACACTTTTGTAAGGTGCGGTAAATGCCTCCTATGAAAAAACTATTAACCAAAAGTGAACAAAATAATCTTACAACTAAAACACCCAAGCAAATATCATGAGCTAAATTTACAAATATCACAAAAGCAAAATGATCCATAACATGCTATAGTTTTGTGCCATACATTTCGACGTACCTGTAACAATTGTACTAAATGTTGAGTAATCCACCGAGTATTTCATATCAAAATAAAAATCACACTCTGGAATAAGTTTTCCTTTCAAACTTACCTATGTAAGAATGAACATCAAGACTATATTAGTACAATTGAAAAATGAATATAAACAAATAATATTGAAATAAATATCAAATGCAAAATATAAACATGCAAACTTGAAACATACATTTGGTAATCTTTGAACAACTTCAACTTTTGAGACTATACAATCTAATAAATTGTCATTCATCAGAGTAGAATAAAATAGCCGTTTCTTGTCATGAGATTTCCCTTCATCCTTTATAACCTAATAAGATACGTTAAATTAGTAAAAATAGAAAATTTAAAAACAAAAGATCAAAATTTGAAGTTATCATTACCGTGTCTTCAGCTCTAAAGAACCATTGAACCCTACAATAGTCTTCGCCATCTTTTGTCTCAAAAAATTCTAGTATCCTGCCAACATAATTAGGACCCCGTTTTGGACCCTAACATCAAGTATAAAGAAATATGGGATAAGAGTTGAAAAAAGTAAGTAAAGGCTCCAATAACAATTACACAAGTTTGCCCTTCCATCACTAGGACAATGGACTAACCTAATAATCCATTCAATCTCCAAACATGAGGAACTTTTGTTTGCTTTTGAATTCAAACACATTTTCTACTTGAAAGTAGTGATATGTTATCTATAACAAAGTTTAGAATGACTAGTAAATAATCAAGCACATAGAGCGTTGGATAATTGTACTTCACACTTTTCTTGGTGAAATTTCGCAATAGCACCAAGTTGATGTAACTCGCATTTAGAGGGACTACCACTTAAAATTATGTGTTCTTCTCACTCTCATTTTATTATGTGTTATTAATTGCTTCTAATAATACAAATTAATTGGTTAATTCGTAACATAGAGTGCAAGGGGTGACAAAAACATGATTCATGATAAAGAGGTTGGAATAACTAAAGCCACAAATGCATTACTACACTCTCTTTTGGGGTTGATAGAACTCAAATAACCATATTAATTCAAAAGGAGTCATTTTCAGTCGAGTTCCATTTTTTGATCTACTACCTTTAATGATGTGTCAATTAGCTGGTCAGGATATTCTGTTTAACGGCAACAAATAATTTGTGGCTACCACTGCCGGACACGAATGTGACTGGTGAATCTCGCATGAAGAACAGACTAGCCCATTTCTAAAAGAACTCATTTTATCCTTACATGTACATGATAATTATGTATGGTGTTAATTTCATGTAGTATATCATAAAAAATATTGACATTGCTGATATCAAACTATATTACAACACCCAATTACCAATTGGCAAATAATTGTCACTAACATTCTTGATATTAATAACTACATGGGTTAGAAAGATGATTATAAACTACTACGACCTAAAAAATTTGATTTCACATAGCTTTTTTACCTTTATTCCTGTCAATGACCCATGGCGTTGAAATTTTGAAGATTATAATCTCATATTTCACTTTTTTCATTAAATACCAGTTATACATCCATGTCAAACAACTAAGACGTGTGTTTTCTTTTGAATTTTAACTAAATGTCTCAATTATGAAGTGATGGTACAATAACCTAAATACGTTGCATGAAGTTAACATGATAGCATAAGTGCAACATCTGCAATAGAAAGAAGTAGCAATCACAAGTGAGTTATCTTCGACATATATACGTGATGAAATCTTTCAGGCAAGTACTTACCTTTATGTATGCACAATCACCAAGACTAAAAACAACATTTGCTACTTTCGCTTCAGAATAATGACACTTTATATTCAAAATAAGCTGATCTTCATTGTCGTCATCCCTACAAGGTGTGCACGACATTCAATGATGAAAAGACAACCACATTAAAATGTTCTCAGGATCATTGTATGAAGCATTAAATGATACTAACTCGCATTTTGAGGCATGTCCATTATTTTTTGGACCCTGCAACATTCATGCAAAATGTTACAAAAACCACGTCATTTACTGTGACAAAATACATTTAATTGAACGACAGAAAAGGGAGGACATTCACATAACAAACTATAATGCAGGACAAGATGGAGGACATAATCATTATGCAACAGAAAATAACCCAAATATCAATGTCAAGAGTTCTTCAAAAAAAAAAAAAATTTGCTTCTAAGTTCTTTATATGGAAGTTGGAAAAAAGTATATCTATTTCCACAACTTTTTAATGGAATCTATATTCATTAAAAATGTTTATGTGCCACTGAAACATAGTCAGTGTGACGTTCACGGATTGAATGAAAGTATAAAAAACTAATACATGAGTGTCATGAAAGAGATTCCACTGCATTCCATATTGAACAATATTTAGGGCTTGTTCGGTAGAGATTAAAATCAAATTAAAATTGAAAAACTAGCCGTTATTGTTGACTTTTATTATACGAGTAGGACCCAATAACGGTTATATTTTCAATTTTAATTGGATTTTAAGCACGACCGAACACGCCCTTAATCTTACGTTGAAAATCAAAAGTTCGACAGTTCATATTTCAGGAGATGTGACTTGTCCAAAAGATGTGAAGGGACTCTAATTTCCACAAGCCAATTAGCCAAATGAGCATCAGATGCTGAAAATTTTCGACTAAAGGTGCAGCCCTGAAACTCGTCATGGTCCTCATAAAAGGAGAAACATATGTGCACTTTTGTTGTCCTGTGTGTTGTGTTTCAATTAGCCAAATGAATAGATATATCAGACTTTAATGCTTGTTCTTCCTTGACACCTGCATCAGTGCAACAAGCTTGGCATCTTCCGCTCCTGGTTAAATTCGAGAATATATATTCTCATCCTAAATTCCCCTAGTAGCAAAGAGCAGATATAACTCCATAAATGTAGATTTCCTGCTCCTCATTAAATTTGAGCCAGAGTTCGTTTTTGGCTTGTTTATTTTTTATTTTTCTTATAAATTTCTTGCCAGGTGTTTTGTGAGTGAAAAATTAAATCTTTGGTCCTGCCAACTATGCTAGACCTATATCAATACGCATTTGCAGCATCACATTAAATCATGAGAATCCCAACCTTTTACTTGTTTCCGGAAAATTGCAATAAGACACATTAACAAAGCAAACCAAGAACATGCATAGTACCTTATTTTCATCGTAACGCCAAGGCCAGTGGAGCCTAGCCTCATCCTCGGGAACCGGGTCACTGATAAAGAATGCAATTTTTTTCCCAGTCTTTTGCTTCTTCAGTGGTGGTGATTTCTCCAGCTCCCCTGAATTCCTCAATTTGCCACTGCTTTCTCCTCCACCATTCTCAACTAATCTCGGCGACCGTCTCCGATAATCCTGATCCAAGCTTATCAGCATTTCGATTTTCTGCTTCACCGTGGTCTCCGTAAATACCTCCGGTTTGGGAGAAACCTCCAATTCGCCACCGGCTCCGTCGCCATTATCTAACTGGGTCGGGCTACTCTGGTTCAACTGTGGCGGTGGCGAGGACAATGCCGGATTCGCCGGTTGATAGTGGGCCCCCTCCGCCATCGTTGAAATCTAACAGAAGTAAATAAGATTTAATCACAGTACGGACCGTGTAGACTTTAAAAGCAAAAGAATATAACTTGAGGGTATCTTGGTAAATGGACTGAAATATATTTTAGATGGGAAGTTTTGGGCGGGATCCTGAAAAAATTGAATTTTATTGTTGAAATCAATGCAAAGTATTAGAGGCTGTTCTTTTCGTGTTTCAATTTTATGTTTTGAGTTTTGAATTCATTTTGTATTTTGTGTTTTGAGTGTCTATTTTGAAATTTCTGAAAATGCGTACTTTTTATCATTCTGAAAAACTGTTTCCGAAAACATAAATATGAAAAACGCGTTTATTTTGAAATTTTGAGATTTTTTTAATAATATTTTATTCAAAAAAATCTGATTATTCAATAAATTTTAATGTTTTAACGATTAGAAATTTACGTGTCATGACAATATAATCAGATAATGAACAACATACAAAATAAATCCACGGAGTCATGTGCCTTTTGTTTTATTTTAGTTTTAAGTTTTACAATATTTCAAGTTGAAATAAATTAAGTCCATGTTTGATGGTCATTATTTGAAAACTTTTTTTTCTATATACTTATTTTAAATTACATTAGCAATAAAATATTTTACATGTAAACTCGAAGTTTTTCTTCATCTCTCAACCACATATTCTCCAAAAACTCATTATTCAAAACATTTTTTTTTTCAAAATAATGGGGCTAATTAAATAAAAGTTATTATTCTTAACAATAAGTAAACACGTCCGTGCCTTGAAAATTCACGTGAAACTTAGAATTTTTTTCCTATATACAAGACCGGAAAATTTTCATGTAAAATTTTGTTCTCACTTCACAAGGTAATTTTTTTCACAATGACTCGGAATAAATTGACAAGCTAACCTCTAGCTGCAGTACAGATGCATCTAGATTTTATTCAACATCAGCTAAAACAACTACAACCTCAAGTAGCCAGAAAGGAAAAAACATATGACTTCACTAAAACTGCATTCTTTTAACATCTTTCTGAGCCTCAAGCTTTAACAGAAGCCTCGTGGCGGATCAAATCAATAACTCAATGACTGTAACGAAAAACAACATTGATGTCACTAAAACTATATGAGCAGTTAAAGATCAAGAAATTTCAAGACTGGTGCAAGTTTAGATGAATTGACTAAAAAGTAAAAATCAGCAAATTGATTAGGAAGGGAAATATAGACGAATTTCTCAGTTTCTGTCCAACCATGGCATTAAACACAGAGTTTCATCTCCCAAAACTCCCGAGCAAAGTGGAAGGCTTGCGAGGAAAATAGACATATTGTAGAAGTAGGGTTGACCCTAATAGCACACTTGGTCTCTCTCTATTTCTGGCATGATGCCTTCCAACAGCTATGTAATCGATAAGTTATACTGTGTAACACTAAATTTCACACCACTACCATTTTGAAGTATTTTACAAAGAATTACCTACCAATATCTCACTTAGAGATTTTTGTGTTCATGCTAACCTTTCCCACGCCAGTACCATGATCATAAACTAAAATTTAATTATGTTGAGAGTTGAGTGGGTACATCCTGAGTTTAGTTCAACAAAAATATAGATTCTATGTGTGTCTTGCCATGTCATTTTTATTGAAAAGACCCTTCTCTTCACAACAGAATCCTTATTTGTTCAACATATATCCACAATTAATTGATTCATGATCAGAAATATTAATCCAACAAAGCGTTTGGACTAACCTGCTTTGCAGTAGGTGACCAAGTCCAAGAGCCCCGACAGTTAGTGAAATCATGGGAAGACCATATCGCATAAACGGTGGTTTCCAGCCCCACCTACTGAACTTTGAAGCCGAGTTTTGAAACTTGCATCATAATTCCAAAGCATCATTGCCAACAATAATGTTACTTGTTGTGAGATTACCTTGAGTTTCAGGCATAAATAGAAGTGTGAAGTTATGATGCCACCCTATATAGGTTCCAACACATTCAGTTCTAGTGATTAGACGAAGAATTTACATAATAAACTCACCCGAGTTAATGATCAAGTAGCAAACAATAACATAATGCCACCTGAGTAAAATTACACTAGCATGGAATAACAAATTCGCCTTCAAATAATCCAAAATTAAAAACCTTATACACACAATAACACACTTCAAACATTCTTATCACATACTTAACGATAGTTCAATAAATCTTCACGTCCAGTTTCTCAAATTAAAGTTTCTAAATTAAACAGAGAAAACTAAACACACAAAGTATTGCAATTTTACCCTAACAAAAAATAAGTCATTATAATGTACGCATATGGGACTCAAATTAACAAAAAATAAAATTAAATTAAAGTCTCCATAATACCTCTTCAGCACTTGAATCGTGGAGATTTGTTTTCTCGATGGGTTCTGGTGTGTGAGGGGGTGGACTGCTCTAACAAGGCAATCGATTCATGACGAAATTAAGGCTGACCCATGGTAGAATTAGATGCGCCTAGTTGAGAGAAATGTTGTTGTGGTGCTCCACGATCGAGAGGGTGGCCGGATGTGGAAGTAACTGGGGAGAAACCGTGATTGTGCTCGCGATTTTGGATGAGAATTGGAGATGTTTTCGGCGGACGGCGGGCAGGCGATGGTTGGAGGTTGTAGAGGGAGATGAGGGGGTGCCCGTGGTGCAGAGGTCCGGCGGCTTAGGTGCCAGGCAATGGAAGTTTTTGATGGAAGATCGGTGACGATGGAAATCAATAGATGAAGAGGAGAATTTTGTGAAAATAGAAAACGAGGTTGTTTCCTGTGTTTTCATTCAGTCTCTTTTTTGGGAAGAAAACGCTCGTTTTGAGTTTTGAATACAGTTTTTTTTATTTTTTTCAAAAATTCATTTTCAAAAACGGGAAAGATAACGCATTTTCACTATTTTGACAAATCAAAAACAGAAAACGGTCCGAAAACAGCAAAGAGAACATGGTCTTATTTTTTGTGATCCCAATTGGCAATTTGTGTTGAATAAGAATTTTTTTTATTTGTCAAGTTGAAAATTCTCTCCCCAGTGTTTGAACCTTATTCTCAAAAACTTATTTTCGATTACACATTTATCAGTAAAATAACTTTACATGTAAATTCAAAATTTTTTCATACTTTTTAATTATAAATTTTCCAAAAATTACTATTGCAAAATATATTTTCCAAAAAAATAGAATTCAAACACATAGCCTAAAGTAGGTCATTTTAGGGTGTTTGACACTCATTTTTGTGAAAGAATGTGTTTTTAAATAGTGATTGATGGAAGAATGTGTGGTTAAAAAGTAAGGAGAATTTTTAGGTTTATGTGTAATATTATTTTATTGATAGAATGTGTGGTTGAAATGAAGACAGAGAAAAAAATGAGAATGAGAATGAGAAAAAAATGGGT